ATATATATATATATATATATATATATATATATATATATATCCGGATGCACCAATGTGCCCATACACGGTGGCTGCTTTCAGACTTCGACGAACGTCCGTCCATCCGTCCGTCAACGCGTGTCGCGACGGCGGTTTTAGAAAGGTGTTGCAACATTAGATCACGTGCCAGCGTTGCGGCACGCATGTGACCGCCGTCGCGCACGCGTTGAAGGATGGGCGCACGGACGGTCGTCGAAGTTTGAGAGCAGCCGGTCAAATATTGAAGTGTGCAGGGCACGCCCTAAGGTGGGCGGGGCTAAAATCAAAAATTCATGACTATGTTCAAAAACGTTATTAAAAGGGGAGAGGCAGGTATAAAGGGAAATGTCTATGTGGCCAGATACCCAAAGTGGGCGAGACTTGCACTGAGGCTGGCGGAGTTATCAAAAATTCACAACTCTGTACAAAAATGTCCTTAACATTCCAAAATCCTCCTGTATATGGAGTCATCATCATTGAGTGGTTGTGGTTACATGTGGATTGCTGGAAGTTGTTTTTGGTAGACCATCTAGGTGCTCTGGAAATTTCAAGTAGTGAAGCGTTCTGCTATTGTCAATTCCTGCCACATATCATTAACGTATTGTTCTGGCCGTCAGGCCTTTTTCTTTAAGGATCATTTGATTAAAAAAAGCATAATTATTGCTTGTTTAAAAATGAGTACAGGAGGGCACTTCTAGCTCTCCTATCGAAGTTTCTGGTCAGCTACGATAATTGAGAAACTCATGCGATTCAAAGAGGAAGAGATGGTAACGGGAGAGGAACGTGTGATTTCTGTGATGGATCTTTCGCAAATGACTTCGATTCGTAAAGAAGACGTCATTTCTACATTGCAAGTAAGGTCCTTTCATCTTATTGTGCATGATGTTTCATTTTAGTGGTTATCTTTATATTCACATTTGCCTATATATTTTGTTATTATTTTTCTGAGTTCTGAGTGTAGATTCGGATTCATCATATGGCATTGAGTAATGGATAGGCTGCCGATTTGATTGCTTCAGTTTTTAATTTTTATACTGCTTCTCGTTTTTGTAGGTATTTTCCACACTGATCCCGATTGATAGAGGTATGCCAACTTTATGGGTGAATCATTAAGACTTTGTTTCAGCATCTCAATCTTTACAAATATTACCGTGGACAGTATGTGATTGTCATTACGGATGAATTGAAAAATGCCTATCGGAGGATGTGTGAGAAGATCACAGTACGTATTGATCCGTCTAAATTGCGGTGGCAACCGAAGGATTGGAGTAGACGAAAACTTTAGTGTCGGTTGTGCTTCATACCACACGTGATCTCCGCCTCATTCGTCTTGAAGTCACAGCTAATCGCCATCTCTTCATACTTCTTTTGTCTAGGTTTATCCTTTCCTTCCCGAAGATTAGAAAATCGTCTTGCTAACATTTTTTTGGAAACGTTAAGTGTATAGAGACGTTGTAGTTTCGTGCTGCCTCATTGTCATTTTCAGAACTTTGTTTTTTTTCCTGCTCTCGTTTTCTCCGATGCTTATGATACTACGGTTTTCAGTACAATAAATATGCTTTGTCAACAACTGATTTTGAAATAGTTTGATTTCGTGGCGCTTCCATCAGGATTCTTTCAAGAATCGAATACGAATTGGTCTTTAATTGATTATATCAGCACACTAAACAAACTTGTGTGTTTAATTTTTCATCAAGTCATTATAAAGGACTGTGCATGTCTGCACGTCTTGTTTTTTTTTCGTAAAGCTATATGTTGTAGCTATTCGAGACCGAGCTCCGTACGTAGCGAGTACTTTCCAATTTATTACGTTTATCATCTGCCCTTGAATTTCTTCTCAAACACCCATGAGCAACTTGGTTATCTGAGTCTATAGCGGAGATTTGATGCTTCAGAGAGAGTTCTTATTTCTTCTTCTCTTGTACTATTTCCTATTTGTTTGCAAACGGAATACTGGTGTCAAGAGTACTACCTGCGTTCAACGTAAACTTCTATCCCTTTTTGTCTACATGGTCCTTCTTAATGAAGCGTTTAGCCCCTATCCTAACTTCTCGGCATGATTTCTCGCTTATCAGCCGCTTGGCAGGATCAACCTGAAATTCTTCAATGTGCTTCACCAAATTGCAGTGTGGTCATACTGCAGACTGAGTGATTCTGGATAACATTTCTCAACTGTATTCTTGCTTGGTATAGTATTTGGGGGTCCGTATTTGTAAATGTAACTTATCCATGCATTGATTGGTTCCTTTACATAAGCAGCCGTTTCAGGAGAGTTATTCGGTTCCCTGCAAGACCCATTTTGCTGTGCATATTTCTCTGTGATTTGTTTCTCGAGAGTGGCCGACGCCGACTGTTTAGTGTAGTTCACGTGTGCCTAGTGATAAGATTTGGGTTTTTTTAAAATACTGCTATCTCTGAGCTTCATTTAGACTTCTTGTCGTTTTGTGTACTTTTCGAAGCTCTATGCTCTTCACTTTTATTGGTGAGCTTTCGGCATATAATGCCTTCGTCAGACCTTAATTACTTACAATATATTGCTGCATACAATGAGTTACTATTAGTTACAATACAAAACACATCGAATCATACCAAGTCAACCGGAAATATTGGGGAAAGGGGGAATGGACCTGTCGGCGGGGATCTTGAAGGGAAAATGGAAGCCGCTCTTGTTCTGAGGTGACTATGTGTTATCACGTGATCAGTCTCAGTAGGTCATGCAACTCCTCTTTCGCATTGATTTCCGGCTTGATGCGGTATATTTCCCGTGCCTCCATGATTTTCCTTTCCAGTGGCCGTACCAAATATCTGTGCAAAACCCTCACATCAAAGGATGGAGCGTTTTCTTT